TCAGTGGGAATGGTTAGACAACACTAGGCAGAGGTATAAATTTTAAAATATTCATTTTGTATAAAAACTACAAGTAAGAAGCTTTTTCAAATAAATTGACATAGGCTAATGTTTAAATTAAATATTTCTTTTTAAATAATAGACTTATTAATAATCAGTTGTTAATTGGTCTATATTGAAAGATCACCATGTTATCAGGACATTCCAGATATATATCTTATTAATATATTTGCATTATAGGAATTTGTGCTTGCTTCAGAAAACAACCTACTGTGGCATAACTACGAAGTTTATCAAAAGGAGGAGAATGTTATAGAAGATGTAAGTTTGTATGTAATGAAAAATATACACAAGGCAAAATATAAAAAATATTATATTTTTGGTACATTGTACAGTTGGCCTAAAGAAAAGTAGTAGGGGTGGCGGGTAAAAATTAGAGATGGTCGACTTAACGGAAACACATAAAAAAAATTTTAGCCTAAAAAGACGTCATATAATTCAGATTCACTGTAAAAGAACAAACAACAATTCCCCTCAAGGCAGCATTGATATAGTAGTACTTGATGTACATGTAATACAATATGTTGGTACTTGATGTACATGTAAATATACTGTAGATAATCCGTTTATTTGAGATACCCCACCTGCCCATGACATAAATTTGTATTGAACCCTTTTATCGATAGATTTGTGTATGATCAAGGGGGGGGGGGGGGGGGTCGACTTCTTATCGTTTATACAGGATTTCTGTTAAAATATCTATAAATCCCCAGCGACTTTATATGATATTATTATATGATCCCCTTTTACATGTATATTAAATATTTAAAAAAAAACAATTTTAGATACCTACTCCCACCAGGAAAAATGCTCCCGTATACTCGGTGAAATTCGTAAGTTTCTCAGTTGAAATATCGAAAGCCATGCATACTTTTGTTCATGCACACTTTATTTATAGAGTCCCTCTACAAGCAAAATTAAGATGTATTATAAGAATTTTTAGTGTGTGTCTGTGTATATTTGTTTGAGGGGGTGGGGGTGTAGAGGTGGTTGCGGACATCCTCCCCAACATCCCCTTGAAATTCTCCATTGACCACAGGTGCAAGAGACATTTATAAATATATTTACCAATGGTTCAGCCAAGATATTTGGATATAAAATCGCTCTTTATAATTTTTAACTAGTCTTTATAGATTATAAGTTTGACTAAAATTTTAGCTATATTGTCATTTGCCAAAAAATCGAAGTATATGGAATGAGTAAGATATATATATATATATGTATATATGTATATATATATATATATATATATATATATATATATATTATATAAAAAAGTCGGGGAGGGGGGGGGAACCCTTGGGATACGGACACAGGGGAGGGGGTCCCGTCCCCAAGCACCTGTGATATGAAGCCTGCTTTTTTAAGTACACATGCAGAAATTTTGAGGGAATTTATTTCAAGGTGTAAATACTAACTACTAGCTTAGAATTATAGGCATTTTAATAAAAATAGATATGATTATATACTTGTATTTGTTATCGCATGAAAAATGTAGATATTAAACAATTGATTTTTAATTAAACAATACATGTATGTTTTTTATTCCAGGGGAAAAGATGAAGATGATTATTTCAAGTATCACTTTTCAAACCCATTTAAAATTCTTCTTGACTGGCCAGAAACAACACCACATAATGGTCAACCTCTGATGTAAAGAGAAATCATGGAAACATCAAGCCTAGCTGTTTTTATTGTCTACAAAATTGTTTTATAACAGCTATTTTCTACATTTTGTTTATCTCTAAATGCAGATTTTGGATAATGTTTAGATGTACATGTAGATTCTTGCTTGATTAATAATTTGAAAAAAAAAAAACTATTTTTCAAAGTAGCGATAAAATTATACATATACATATGAATATGTGTATGTTTACTGATTGTAAGACTATATATTAATGGTTATATTTTTAATGGGGTGTTAATTTATGGTCAGTGTAAATAATTATAAATTTTTTTAACCAAATAAATTAATGTATAAAGATAGGCATCTGGGAACAAGCAAAATTTAAAATGGAGGAAATTAACATAAGCTTATCAAATTTCAAACCCGCTAAATTAATATCTACCTACCTGGGTATGAAAAAGTAATAATTTATTATGTTTTGGTTAAAAAAGTATCATTAGAGTTTTTATCCATTATCTTTTTTCCATTTTTTTAATCTAGTATTTGAAATTGTTGTTTACTGAAATAAGTTCCAATGAAAAGTTGCATAGCTAATTTTCTTAGATTTTTCATTATCTGCCCTTTGTAAAGGATCATAGAGAAACAATAATAATTCAATTAATTTCGTTTTATCTTATTTATTATCTTTAAAAATATTTATTAATCATTCCTTTTGTCTCTTTTATTAGTGAGAAAAATGTTTGGAAAAGAAATTTTATAAAACAACCAGTGTCTAGTAATATTTTGAACAAAATATTATTTCGCAAAATGCCAATTTTCGAAGTTAAAAATACTGAAAACGAAATAAATCCCCACTCTACTTTTTATAAAAGTTAACTAATATTATTATGGTGTTTCTAAAATTTCAGGTGATTTTTTCTTGAATCGCCTGCATTTCTTGAGAGACTTCTTGAAATATAGGATAAAAATGACCATTTTCACAATGCAAGAATTTGGTCATCTTTGAGCCATCAATTGAAGAATTCGCAGTGACTTGTAGAATTTCTTTTTTATTGTGTTATATAGTGCTTCATCTGTTCTATTCTTATAATATATGAATTATCTCAAAATAATAAAGATGATTAAACCACATGAAATCAAGTATTTAGCATTTTTATGCTTGAATTGAGAGTAAATGGGGCAAAAATCTATATCAGCCCGTTACCATGGCAACCAAGGTAGTAACCTCAATTCTGAATGTTGATTATGTCATAATGTATGGGCATTAATCACCTGAAAAAGTTTCATGAAAATCGCTCATGGTGTGTGCCACAGCCCTACAGTAAAATTTGGTCCTTACAGAGAATGGATGTTAAAATGTCCAAAATATGCCTCTAAAATGCTTTGAAATTGAATGCCCGCAAAGTTCAAAAAGTAGGTCACTGTGACCTACTTTTTAATAAACATGTTTTATGGCCCCAAGCGATCAAATTAAAATTAGATGTTCTGAATCCACTGCCTCTTCTCAAACATTTAACAACATCCCATTTGGGGTCACGTCAGAGAGACCTTTTGATTATGAATAAACATGAAAATCTTGGCCAATCAGATTCGAGCTTCTGTATACGATTCTAAAGTTAGTTCCATGGCTACATCTTAACATCATTTATGCTCAGTAGTCTGTCTTTAGTTGAATTAAAGTAATTTTGGTATAAATTGAATGTATAGTCTGCCAATCTGGCATTCTTACCTGAATAACGCAAACAAGAAAGCACAAACTATACAAGATATCCTGCACATCAGATTCATGCATAGCACATATTATAAATTTATGAGTAGCAAAAAAATTCCAAATCCTATCAGAAAATTTTATCAAGTCTGTTTTTTGATGAGATGTTCCGTACTGTCACTTTAAACGTTTTGAAAAAGATTAGCCATGAAATTCAAAACGTAGGTCAAGGTGACCTACTTTTCAGTTGACATATTCCTGGGACCCAAGATGCATCAACTGACAAAGTTTGAAAATCATAGGCCTTAAATTGCTCAAAATATGCCTCTAAATCATTTTGAAAAAGAATGGCCGCAAAATTTAAAAAGTAATTCACCTGACCTACTTTTGAGTCAACATTATATGAGGTCCTTAGATGCATCAGCTGACAAGATTTGATGATCCTAGTCCTTACAGTAAGCAATACATCAACATTTTAATAAAATATAATTTTTGGTCAACTTTGAAGTGACCTTGAGACCATGCCCTTTGCCCCAGCCTGATTCCTCATGCAAATTTTGATCTTTTTAATCTTTTCTTGAGCCTTTGGCTCAGAAGAGCTAAAATTTTGGTAAAAGCACCCTTGCTCATCATAACTATACACATGTTTCTCTGCTTTATAACAGGAGTAGAAAAAAATATTTTCTAAGATGTTATACATTTTCACTATATAATCAATAGAGACCCCCCCTTTTCACCAGAACCCCTGACCCTGGGGCCATGAATTTCACAATATCTGAAGAGGCACTCTTGCTCATCATAACTATGTACTTAGTTAGGTTATTTAATACCAAGGAGCAGAGGAAAAGATTTCTTAAGAATTAATTTTCACTATATAATATATAGAGCCCCACCCTAACACAAGATAGACAACATACATCGACGGAAGCAAACAGGAAGAATAAGTCATCTTAGTGATTCAGAAGACCTTAAAAGTGTCAATTTACAACCCCATTTGTACCCCAGGTGAAAATGAAAATTCCGAAACCTTATTGCACATCTACAGGACACCATCAATCATCTTCCAGAAGATAATTAGGCTACTGCATAAAATGTAAGGGGAGTTCTAGGAACCAGGTCATAGAAAAAAACATAACTTTCGACCACCATTTGACCCCCAGGGTGAAAATGAAAATTCTGAAACCTTATTGCACATCTACTGGACATCTTGCTGGCTGCCAAATTAAGGCAAATTCAGATGTGATCAGCTGATTTGACCAATCAACCAATATTATCTACTTATCAATCATCAGATGACAAATCTATGTAAACCCCCAGTTAACATATCATTTTTAGCCCTAGTCATTCAAAATTGTCTAAGTAAGTCATAGCTGAATTAATTACTTGATTGCGTACATGTATGCGAAATCAACACTTCTCGAGATCATCGAGACAAGAGTAAAAAATACTGAATTCTGTGTAACTGGACTCAGGTCTTGGTTCGAAAGATCCGGAGTGAATTAGCTTGGTTACATAAAGGAACAAAATGGGACTGGGATTTGACTTTGAGAGATCAAGAACTTTGAGATCTTATTGTTCCAGTCATCAAAAATCACCTGTTCTTACCTTTGAAAATTTCCTGTCTGGACATCTGCTATACTTGACAGCTGCTTCAATTCTTCTGGAGTAGCTTGGACTGCTGATAATGATTCTAGAAGATCAGCCCTCTGTTTTGCAACAGAAATTTGATAGTCATGAGAATATAATCATTGCTATAATAAATTGAATTTTGACTATTAGATTATGCAATAACATTGTAAGAATAAAATTCTTCTGAACAAAATCAAAGTACTAAAATCCAGGCTATAATAATTTCAGTAAATTGCCAATTTTGAGATAAATACATCTTTGAAAATCTTCCTCTCTAGAAAATGGTATTTTGCAGGCGTTTTCTTAATTATCATAAACTATATTGAGCCTTCTATAAAATCTTTGAAAAGCTCCCTCTCCCCTTTCACCAGAACCCATGACCGTTGGACCATGATTTTCACAGTTTTGGAAGAGGCATCCTTGCTTACCATACTTATTCACTTAGTTTGATTAAATAATACACAGGAGCAGAGATGATTTTCAAAGAATTAATGTATTTTCACGATACAGTGCAGTCTCGTTATTACGATGACAGTTTTTTAAGATAGAATGCTTATTATGTAAATTCAAAGCACAAAACCATTTCTTAACAAATCTATACAAAATAGAACCATTTATTACGATGTCGGGACTCGGTATTACAATTGTAGAAATTCTGTCCCAAGAATTTTTCACTCCGTGTTTATTCAGTGCTGATCAACGATGGACATCTAGGGCAAAAGGGGCGAAAATAAAACGGGGACAAAAATTTCCCTGTATACAGTAAAACCTATAATTAATTCAAATAAGGACAATCTTTTTCTAATAAATAATCTCCCGTCATATAAACAACATGAGCAATTATTCATTGATTTTTCTCCCGGATCCTGGATTTATTTTTAACTTATAAAAAAGTTTTAATAAATATATAAAATTATGTTTTAAAATAAATATGGTTGAAAATATCGAAATCTGTGTTTTATTTCTTACTTCTTTTTGTGTACATTTGAGGAAAAACAAGATACACGCAACAACTGCATAGTTTGGCCGATTAAAAGCCGTACACGGTGTATAAAATGTGTAAACACTGGCTAAGTTTTCAATTGCCTTTGGGCATGAATAGCAGACAGTTCACGCATGTTATTTGGGTATCAGTGTTACACATCACTGACCATACTTGTCAACAATGACATTTATTTCGTTCTTCAAACTGCAAAACTCTTGTTTTAATAAACATGGTATAAATGTATTTCAGGATTATTTTATTTCTTAAATATCTGAGATATAGTCCATGTACATGCACACTGATGTACGGGCTCAGGAAGTATTTTAGTGAAATTGTTTTACGTTGTGTAAAGATTCTTACAATAATTATATCGACAAGTCAATGAAAATGATAACGTCAACGAAAAACATAATAAGGAGTAATATGGGAACCGGCCTTGCTCTATAATTGTAGGATCTACATGTATTTCAAATTCATTGAATTCTAGTCTAAAAATAAGCCATTCATTTTATTAAGCACATGATTAATTTTCTAGAAAAAAAATATATGCAGTAACCATTGTAAATAAATAAAATTTAATAAACAATGGTTTAAGTTGGTTTCAAATTAATATACTATAAATATAATTACAGTTTGAGTGTGAAAGTCTCTTTTTTTAATATGATTATTTTTTTCTTATAGATACTGCAGTTTTCTTAATTATTCAGAAATAATAGTCACATAAGAATTTTAAATAAGCTGTACATGTAACATGTCTAACACTTTTTTCTCCTAACAAGAGGCCCACGGGCCTTATAGGTCACCTGAGTATCATGCAACAACTTCGCCACAATGGATTCATGTTTTAAACCAGAGGCCATGAAATTCACAATTTCGAAAGAGGCACACTTGCTCATCATAATTTTACATTGAGTAAGCTTACTTAATACCCAGAAAGAGAGCAGAGGATTATCAATGAATTAACGCATTTTCACTATGTAATCATTAGAGCCCTGCCCTAACACCAGAACCATGATGCAGGGGCCATAAAATTCACAATTTTGGAAGAGGCATCCTTACATATCATAACAATACTCTTAGTTCATCAGCTTAATACCCAGGAGAAAAGAAGAAGATTTTCAAAGAATTATTGCATTTTTACCATGTAATCATTAGAGCCCCACCCTAACACCAGAACCCCTGACCCAGGGGCCATGAAATTCATAATTTTGGAAGAGGCACCTTTACTCATCATAACTATGCATCAGTTTGTTTGTTAAATACCCAGGATCAAAGAAAAAGATTTTTAAAGAAATAATGCATTATCACTATATATTCAACAGAGCCCCACCCTAACCCCAGAACCCCTGACCTAGGGGCCATGAATTTCACAATATTGGAACAGGCACCCTTACATATCATAACTATACTCTTAGTTCATCAGCTTATTACCCAGGAGAAAAGGAGAAGATTGTCAAAGAATTATTGCATTTTTACTATGTAATCATTAGAGCCCCGCCCTTAAACCAGAACCCCTGACCAGGGGGCCATGAAATTCACAACATAGGAATAGGCACCCTTATTCATCATAACTATGCCTTCAGTTTGTTTGCCCTGGATCAGAGAAGATTTTTAAAAGAAATAATGCATTTTCACTATACATGTATATTCAACAGAACGCTGCCCTAACACCAGAACCCCTGACCCTGGGGCCATGAAATTCACAATTTTGGAAGAGGCACCTTTCATCATCATAACTATGTATTTATTTTGTTTTCATAATATCCAAGAGCACAGAAGAAGCTTTTTAAAGAAATAATGCATTATCACTATATATTCAACAGAGCCCCACCCTAACACCAGAACCCCTGACCCTTGGGCCACGAAATTCACAATTTTGGAAGAGGCACTCTTTCTCATCATAACTATGTACTTAGTTCATCGGCTTAGTACCCAGGAGCAGAGGAGAAGATTTTTGAATAATTAATGCATTTTCACTATATAATCATTAGATACCTGCCCTAACACCAGAACCCCTGACCCAGGGGCCATGAAATTCACAATTTTAGAAGAGACACCTTTCTTCATCATAACTATGCATATTGTTTGTTTCCTAAATACCGAAGAGCAGAGGAGAAGATTTTTTAAGAATAATGCTTTTCACTACATATTCAACAGAGCCCCACCCTAGCACCAGAACCCCCGACCCTGGGGCCATAAATTTCACAATTTAGGTAGAGGGCTCAATGCTTATTACATTCATGCCAACAGTTTGCCTGCTTGATGCCCAGGAGTAAAGAAGAAGATTTTTAAAGATTGCATTAATTCTGATGGTTTTAGCCCCACCCCTCAGGCCCCAGGGGGGTAGGGGTCATGAATTTCACAATTTTTACTCCCCTTCACATATACATGCTATGTGCCAAATTTGGTTGAAATTGGTTCAGTGGTTCCAGAGAAGAAGCTGAAAATGTTCAAATGTTAACGCACGACGGATGACGCATGCCGACGGACAAAAAAACAGATAGCAATAGGTCACCTGAGTAAACTCAGGTGACCTAAAAAAAAGAAGTGCATCATTAAATTTCAACTGCCTTTATACTACAGACATTGTTTGTTGATACACTGTGTAATCTCAGTTATGACTAAGCTCCACCCATTAAATTATTAACCCCGCCTACTGGGACTGCTGGGACTGCTTTATTGGGACCGCTGGGACTGCTGGGACCGCTGGGACCACTGTGGGACTGCTCTGGGACCGCTGTGGGACTGCACTGGGACTGCTATCTGCCAGGTTGGGTCTGGTTGGTACTGTATGCATATCGAACGTTTGAAATACAGAAAAATTCAAAATCCCAAGTCTACTTTTTCCATTATCTTTGCAATAAAATATCGGTTAAACTGAAATGATTTTATTGATTTACAGTATAATATATTAAATGAATTATAGGTCCCCTGAGTTGATAATGAGTTGTTTTTATAACAAGTAGTCCTCCTGGCCAGTCATCATCACGGTTTATACACAGACCCTAAAACGTGCTACTACACCACTTGCACGGTTCGGTTCGTTTCGTTTTGTGTATGGTACGGTACGCTTCTTGCACGGAACGGTACGCTTTGTGAACGGTACAGTTCGTTTAGTGCACGGTACGGTACGCTTCTTGCACGGTACGGTTCGTTTTGTGTACGGTACGGTTCGCTTTGTGCACGGTACGGTACGCTTCTTGCACGGAACGGTTCGTTTTGTGAATGGTACGCTTTGGTGAACGGTATGTAAATTAAGTGGGCGGAGCCTGTACGCTTTAGATTATGATTGGCTACTTCATAAAGTCGTTTATTTCTTTATTATAATCTCTTTATTTTATATAAATGGAAGGACGGTGTCGCAAGCATTTTTTAATAAGTTGTTTTTAAGTTAAAACTTTTATAAATATTTCCTTTTTACAGCTGTATTTTTGTTATTAAATGTAACTAGTTGTCTTAATAACTGTATCTTTTTTTTATTTACTTTCTGTATGAACTACTTTCAATTTCTAAAATAAATAATTATAGTTGTCTATTTTTTATCTTATTTTGTACAACATCGCCTTATGGTTCAATTAAACTTGGAAAGAAATCGAACATATCAACAAACACTGTATAAGAAGGATGAAAAAAATATTTTGGTTGCGTTGCCATAAAAGGCCTTCCTGTATTTTTTTTAACGAATAAGCGTACATATGTTTTTTTTTCCTTTAAGTATTCCTAATTGAATACAATTATTATATTAAATATTCACTTATCACACTTTTAAGTAAATGAGATTGATTTTATAAATCGCTCATGCTTTCATTTCGTCTACCATTCTTTTTACGTTCTTGTCACTGCTGCTTCCTTAAAAAAAACACAAACAAACAAACAAATTTCTCTTGACCGAATGATCAAACAAGTCATTAGTTTTATTTGCGAGGAATTATATTTTTTTTACATTGATTTCTTAGGTGTTTGGATCACTAGGAAAAATACATTGAAAAGTAATCGGTAGAAGTGCACACAATAAGTGCAAAATATTACTTATTTTTTGTGCGCGTAATTGTTTTCCTTTTAACATAAATTTTCCATCAATGTGTAAAAACGTTTTTTGAAGGGAAGTTACAATCAAGAAAACGGTTAAGACAGCTACAATTCCATCTACAATGTATAAATGTATATAATATATATTGACGGCAAGACAGATTTCCGAAATAACTAATGTCAAAATGTTAGAAATAAATAGTCCGTTTTCAATTACCCCCCCCCCCCTTTGTTTCCTTGTCAAACTCGCTTTTTTATTGAAGATCTAGAAGAAAAGCTGACTGCACATGAAATTCTGTTTAAATCTGCTGATTAAAACTGATTCGTTGTTGTAGACTTACTGTTAAAGGCAGCAAACTGTTGATACACGTGTAGATGTAAGCATATCTGGACTAACGGGATTAGATACGGTTCAATATACACAGCTCAAGTTTTTACCTGTGCACGTGTGAAGACAATACTTGATCGAAATTTTCAAATGTTTTAGAGTAAATAACGAAAGTATAGAAAGACGTCAGTCTAGATAACGAGACCATGGCAAGAAATGTACAGTGTTTCTTTAAAAAAAAATCTTGGATGAACACGCATGCACGGACTAAGTATTTTTTTTTAAATTAAACTGGGCTTTTTGTGTAAATTCCAGGTTACATATTTTACCTGCAGATTTCAGTGAATAAAGCAAATGAAATGGGAAAATGCTTTAAATAAAAATTAATTCTGACATATATCCAGATTTTTTTTTTTTTTTTCTTTTTTTTTTTTTTTTTTTTTTTTTTTTTTTTGGATTACGTGTATTAAACTGAAAATTCCATGCGAAAATGTGGCGATCGAACTTTTTGACAGTATGTTATATTGGCGATAACATCTTGAGTTGGTCAGAAGAGTGTAAACCGACACATATTATTTATATATACATCGCTTTTATTTATTTTTTCTGGTGATTGAGAGGCGTTTACATTTTAACATGTTCGCTTTCAAATTGATAATTTAGTTCGTAATTTTTTTTTTAATTTTGTTGTTGTTGTTGTTGCTAAATCTGTAATCATTTCTCCCTAAAACTATTACTTACATGAATAAAAAATGATTTTAAGGGCTTGGTTTCGGAAAATAGCACAGAATCCTAATACATTTTTCGGTGTGTCTTGGTTTCCGAGAACGTTCATAGAGACAAGAATAGGGTAGATAAAAGCTATAGAAATAAGCGATGACATTAATACACTTTTATTTATTATAAATTGTACACGAAAATATTACGATGCTGCATTTGATACGGAAAAAAATGTTAGTCAAGCATATCCCGATCATGCATAGCGAATAAGGAATCGCCTCACACTCTGTCGAGTTGTTTTGAAGTCGTAACTACTTTCCTTATATTAACAGATGTTAGTCCAGATGCATGGTACTTAATAATAATATTTTGAATCTCTAGGGTAATTTTCTGTCCTTCTTGGACTGGCGCTGCGTCGAAAGAAATAAAAGAAAATTACTTACTGTATTCGGTCATTGCAAGATTCGGAATGCTTTCGGGGCGTGGCTTGCATAATTATTTCAAAAATTATTCATGAACGGTACGGTTCGCTTTGTGTACGGTATGGTACGCTTCTTGCACGGTACGGTTCGTTTTGTGTACGGTACGGTTCGCTTTGTGCACGGTACGGTACGCTTCTTGCACGGTACGGTTCGTTTTGTGTACGGTACGGTTCGCTTTGTGCACGGTACGGTACGCTTCTTGCACGGTACGGTACGCTTCTTGCACGGAACGGTACGGTTCGTTTCTGAGGTGTAGTAGCACGTTTTAGGGTCTGTAACATTGTAATTACACAGGTAAATACTAACTTAAAGGTGTCAATCTATATATTATCACCTAATTTTTTTTCCATAAGAAATGAATTACCGGGAGATGTCTCGTTTTCTCTGATCATATATTATTTGACAGCATTTATGAACAGCTGTTACAACACAGGCCTGTGTAAACTGGTAAATCACAGGAAAGAAAAATCCGAGACATAAAAAACAAAGAAAATATACACATCTCTGAAAAAACATTCTCTTTAGATAACTAAAATAAATTAATGTCCACCGATTTTTGACTTAATCCAAATATTCATTGATGTGTACCTGTACACGCAGTGTGTCACTTTTTTTGAAGCCTTGGTCCAAACGAACAATATAATAAATCTTGAATGAATTAACTAACCCCTTCAGTACACACACATTGGCCTATACCTGAAATCAGATCTTTGTTACGGCTGGAAATTCCGATAGTCGCTGTATTTCTAATCTGATTGACTATACCTATACCAAATATTCTTTAATTTTCTTTGTTTTATTAACTAACATCTTCACTTTCTTTTCTTTAAATCTTTTTTTTTTTTTTTTTTTAAATAAAATTTAAACTTTATTATAAGAAATCCATGCAGGTGCCCCACGTGTCAATTATTGTGATAGAAGTACTAACCACGTGACCTGATCATAATACATTCATATTGGTCAACTCTGTGATCCACGTTGTGTATTTATCAAACCTTTCAAAATCTTTCCTCTTGACCACATCTATAAGTGTATTAAAAAGTCAACAACTTCCTATCAATTTTGAATATGGCCATCGCAAGTGTATTTTGGACTTTGATTATCTATTTCATTATTTTCATCAATAAAATACATACATGTATAACATAATACGTCCCGTCTTAAGACGGGCGTATAAAAATTACCCAATAATGATGAAAAAAGCGGGTGCACACCTTCATATGGTGAATAATGAGTGTACAAATTTTCAGACAAATCCATGCAATAGTCTCCAAGAACAGGTTCAGACAAAGTCCCGTCTACAGACAGACGGACAGTCACAGACGGACATGATGATTCCAATATACCCCCCCAAACTTTGTTTGCAGTGGGTATAATTAATGTTTAAATTTACCTTGGATTTCTTTTCTTTCTGTTCAATAACTTTCTCCAATTCCTTCCTTTCTTTTTTGCTGAGTTGTTTGACAGGATGTGCAGTAGTTTCCTGTTTAGTCTTTACATTTCTTTTCTTTGATGGCAACACAAGAACATTGGTGTCATCATTACCAGGACTCTCTTGAGCATCAAGGTGCAATTTAATCTGGCAAAATATTTAGAAACATATCACTGTCTATACAGAATGCCAAATTAATGTATCGTCTAAACTTACACTTTATATCTACAAAAATTTTAATAATAAAACCAATCTTTACACAAGTTGAGACCAGTTGTCCTAATGGAGTATAATGGACTATTTGGGATATAATATCCTGCACACTCTATTACCAGAAGCTGGGACTGCTGCCATAAATGGGCCAACAGACAGCAAGGTTATTTTTGCTGTGATGGGTGAGTTCTATTGATATGTTACTACTTATAACTCATTTACTAATGTATGGTGGTTTCCCATTCTTTAGGCCTTTCAACTGCTGCTATGGTTCAATGTAAAGAATGTTCATTCATTAGAGAAGTTGTTAAAGCAAGTGCGAGACAACTATTTTAAAATTATGTCAAATTCTAGTGTTTCTGGAGTACTCCTTCACTGTCAGCGGTAACTTGTGGCTTTAAAATTCAGAACAAATGGTTAACTTATTTTTCAAATAGTTACCAACACTATACAATACCTTATAAGCGAAATTTTTGATAAAAATATCAAGTGAAATCTTCACCTTTTCTTAATTTTAACCTGATTAATTTTTTTATTCTTTGTCTTTCTTCTTCATGCTTAGTATAAAGAATAAAATAATAACTGTAGAAGCACAAATTTTCATGGGGATAAAATTTTGTTGGTTCGTCATCTAATCAAAGTACTGAAGGACGGAGGCATGAATACGACAATTTATATTAAAAACTAGGACTATGTCCATAGGACATGAATGCCCTGCCGAGGGTATATTAGTAATGCAACATGAAAATTTGTATAAGTGTATGAAATTTGATGAGAATATCTTGAATAGTTTCTTTAAAATTGAAACTGAAATCTAAAAAGTTGGATATAGATGGTAAATTCTCACCAAATTATGCATAAGTGCATGAACTTACATAAATATATCTTAAATGTTAAGCAAAATGCAAATCTTAGAAAAGTGAGCTCAAGGTCACAGGAAAGTTCAAGGTCAAATGTTTTTGATGCATTTGAATACTTCCCACAAATACGTATCAGCATATTTAAGTTTGATAAAAATATTTTGAATGGTTTATTTAAAACCGAGCTAAACACTAATTTAAAATAAATTAAGTTAAGGTCAAAGGAAAGGTCAAGGTTAAAAAATGTTGATGCACTTGAAAAGGTTACATCAGTATGTATTAGCATATGAAGTTTGATAAAAATTTTATGAATGTTTTCTTTAAAACCGAGTTGAACACAAATTGAGAAAAGTGAGGTCAAAGGAAAGGTCAAGATCCAAAAAAAAATTGATGCAGTTGAATAGCTTACGTAAGTTTGTATCAGCATATAAAGTTTGACACTTATTTAAGAAAAGTGAGGTCAAGGTCAAAGGAATGGTCAAGGTCAAAAATGTTGATGTAGTTGAATAGCTCTCATCAGTATGTATTAGCATATGAAGTTTGATAAAAATATTATGAATGTTTTCTTTAAAACCGAGTTGAACACAAATTGAAACTAGAACTGTCCAAAAGGGACAAATACCCCCCGCTGGGTTTTTCAGAGAAGGTACCAAATCACTAATGTTTTCTACATGTGAGAGGTGTTCACATTTTGCTTAAACATTTAGAGTGAAAATTTAATTACTCATTATATTTTTTTAATGAATGAAACTATCACAGTGAAAAATTCACTGTTCAAGAAAGAACTTTATTTTGGACTTTACTTTTCAATTTTTAAGTTGTGTCATATTTTATTTCTCACGATATGTTTTGCGAATCTAATTGTTTAATTGACCAGTGACACTTTTCGGACTCTTGATCTGTTGTTACAAAGAGACAGAGTACTATGTCTCAAGAACTAATAATCTCTAAAAAACAACACTGTGTAATTATCTATTTTTTTTATGTCCAAACATCAAAGCGTCATTGAGTTTATTTAATTAATCCATACCTGTGAATCTTTCACTCATTTTACTAAATGTCAACACCTGTCATTTATTTATTCATTATGTACATTCTTATAAATAGTCATGTATAATTTCAATCATTAGTCTGGAATATACGAAGGCCAGTCTCGGCCACGTCCGACTCGTGAGGACTCTGAGTCCGGGGCCACTTCGGCCAGATCCGACTCGATCATTTTTAATATGTCTTTGATTCATGTAAATTGTTGCCATCGTTGAGACTCATCTAATAAATACGGAATCCTTCATCATTTGTTTTAACTCTGGAATTGCATATTGGTGGACCTTCGGGAATACGGCACACCTATACTTTGTTCTTACCTCACGGCCACACAGCGCCTCTACCTATACCCCCTTACGTCAACGTTCCCTCACCCCGTTCGTTCTGCATACAACGGATGCTGTTCCAGACGAATTCCTAAGTACCGTCCAAATCTACACGGTCACAAAACTAAGGTGCAGTCTAATAAAACATCAATACTAGTAATTACAGTGTTTTTTATTACATTGAAAAAATAGTTTGCAACTATCTGTCATCTTTGTGAGACATGACACTCTGCAAATTGATTGTTGAAAAAAAAATATCATAATTAATTATACAAAATCAAATTGATCTTAATACCTTTATATCCAACTCATTTTAAAAATAAAAGGCTGGTTCCAGTAACTATGTATTTTGACAGACATAAATTACAATCAAGAGACTTAGACAACAGAGATCTTTATTCCTTTCTGCCCAATTCCCTGGAGATATAGATGAGACCTGCTTGATCAGAGATGCCCTAACAGCTTCCCACACTGAACTCATTAATTAATCTTTAACTGGATGCATGTCCACTCATTACTCCCAAGGGACAAATGGATTTACACTATCTGCTGTGTAATGTAAAAACTGTTTTTAATACTTTGTGATTTTAATTTTAGGTCTAATGAGTAGTTTTAAGCTGTAGTTCACATTTTTGTACAGATTATCTAGATTCTATGTCTCAAACCTTAGACATGAACCCGAAATGACTAAGTCAATAAAAATGAATTAAAAAAAAACACCTGTAAAATGCAGAAAAATTATCAAATAATGTTGAAAATACCAGATGCACATCTTCATATGGTAAATAATAAGTGTACAAATTTTCATACAAATCTATGCAATAGTCTCTGGGAACAGATATTTTCTGCGCATATGTACGATGTTTAAATTCAACTTTTTAATAACACGATTTTTATATCTGTAAAACATTGTAATTGTTACCGAATGCTGTAGTATAAAAGATAAAATTAATCTAGTGTTAAAATAAATATGTTTATTCTTATTTGATATATAAATTCATTACAAATAATGTGGATTTCAGAAGAGCAAACTACGGACTTATAGAATGAATTACAACGGTTGTAACAACCATACATGTATTTCCGTGCCAAGACGATTCCGTGTAAAATAATGAGAAAAAAAAAATAAAATACTTTACAAAGGTATGTGGACGTATTGCATAAATACACCCGTATTTTAAAATTTTAATGCAATAATATATTTATCAGTCAGTTTTATTTTTTATGATGATTTATTGAGCAAACATGTTTCCTGGCCGTGATTATACTCGGACAAGATGATACAAAAGGCATTCATATTATTTATTATATACTAAATTTTCACAACTTCATATTTAAGTAATATATGCTGTCATAGTTTTTATTAAACAGACATATGAGAGAGAGAGAGAGAGAGATTTGGCTTTACCCCCCTCCCTTCTCAAATGTTTATACTTATATCAAATAAAATTTCTAAAATTTTCTAAATATACCAGGCAATGAAAAAACCATTTTTATCACCAAACCTATTTGTGTTACAGTCATAATCGGTTTTTATTTTCCTGCTTCAAGTTTTCACACGAAGTCCACGTGCTTGACCTATCAATCAAAATCATTCGACACTGTGCAGGTGTGAAAGTCTCGTCACACCGAAGGCAAAGTGTTAAGTATCTCCAAGAAGTTTTAATATTTTTTCTTATCATTTCTAGATCTGATTCCAACATTTCTAGAAAAAATAATAATAAATGAATAAAATACACTAGAAATAAACACTTGGAATGATTAAGCCGCTTGAATTTGAAACCTACTCCCTGCAATTTAAAATATCACCGCCGGCAAATGTATATTTTGAACTACTATTTATTATTATTATTTGTTTAATGACTTTGTTTAGATGCATGTTTGTTTTGAGACTGAATTTTTTGTGCTATAAAACACATTAACTCCTCTTTAAATGTTAATTAAAATATACTGGAAATACTAGCTAAGTAACAGAGGAGGGGGGGGGGGGGCTCTTAATTATATCTAATGGCAAACATATAAAGTTACGGTGAAAAATATCATTACTGGAGAATCAATTTGGTTATATTAATTATAATCATGTTATAAAGGCATTTCTCTCTCTCTCTAATTAAAGACTTTATATTTGTTAAGTAGAAAAAAATTCTATAATGTATTACATTTTAAACAAATTTTTTTTTTCCAAACCACACTATCAATTTAATTCCCTCTAAAGATATTTAATTAACTGGATAGCTGCAGTACTGTTTATAATCCTCAGAATTAGTTCTAACATGTATTTCTGTATTATTTGAAAAAAAAAAATGTGTTAGAAATAAATATTTTCGTATTTCTGCTGAAGTTGGTAAAATAATTGACTTCGGTTATTATTTATCCAATAACAATTTGTCGTCTTTAACATAACAACAAAATGTTGCAGTGTTTTAAGCATGTGTATATTGCCCGTATTTAAATTTAATTTTTCAGCATCGTTCTACATAGGTACATACATGTACTTATAATTACATTTATTTTCCAGATAAATTTAATAAATAACCTAACAGCTAAGTTAGAATAATAAAAATAAATATTGTAGATAATTTTTTTTCTTTAAACACGATATGTTAATTATTAAATTTGTAAATCCTTACTTAAAAAAGATAAGTCCATTCACTTCGGAGTTCCGAATGAAAATAAAGACTGAACGATAAGTGAACGATGAACG